CACATAAGCTGCATTCCAAAGGCTAAAAAATTAACCCTCTCGGTTGATTGGAATCACTCAAATGGATGGTTGGAATCTCTCCTAAAAGAAGGAAACTTCTTCAAAGTGGTAGTTACTTTTCTAAAAATGTATGGAATATGTTTTACAAGTAGAATATAAAGAATATATGCTAAGAAGACCTAATCTAATCTGGGCCATACATCTAATCTAAAAATCAATGGCTTACAACCTCTAAACAAAGTAATGTCTTTGATCGGGTACGGGTCGCGATTGGTCTGCCGATATTCGGGTTCGGGTCACCCGATACCATGTCATCCTCTCCCCCTTCGGCTGCCTTATCTTCAAGGCTAGGCTCCACCACAGTAGAAATATCATCGGCTTGATCAAATATACTCAAGTTGGCAACATTGAAGGTCGCGTTCACGCCAAACTCTTCCGGAAATACAATGCGGTAGGCATTGTCATTAATGCGCTCCAATACATGATATGGTCCAGCTCCATGTGGGGAAATTTTCCCATGCCGAAGCCCCGGGAAACGTTCTTTACGCAAGTGCACCCACACCTAATCACCGGGTTCAAATATCACACGCTTCCTTCCTTGATTAGCATATCGTGCATATGTCGCGGCCGCCTTGTCAATATTCTCCCGTACTTTGGCATGCAGCTCCTTAATTGATGTAGCACGATCCCTGCCACTAAAATTCAAATGCTCATTACTAGGTAGTGGCAGTAAATCCGTAGGAGTTAAGGGGTTAAAACCATAAACAACCTCAAATGGAGACAAAAGAGTAGTAAAGCTAACATGTCTATTATAAGAAAATTCAACATGGGGAATGCATTCATCCCATGTCCGCCAACTATCATTTACCATAGCACATAACAAATTACGTAACGTGTGATTCACAGCTTCCGTTTGGCCATCCGTTTGGGGGTGACATGTGGTAGAGAAAAGTAAGCGCCTCTCAATTTCATGCCAAAGACTCTTCCAGAAATAGGATAAAAACTTCAAATCCTGATCCGAAAAGGTTTTTGGAACCCCATGCAATCTCACAATCTTCTGGAAGAACAACTTCGCCACATGACTCGCATCCGTTGTCTTCGCACAAGGTATAAAGTACGCCATTTTGGAAAACCTGTCAACCACTACAAAAATTGAATCTTTAGCACGTGGTGTCCGAGGTAAACCAAGAATAAAATCCATAGAAATGTCCAACCAAGGCCCCTCCAGAGTGGGATGAGGAGTATACATACCATGTGGCTTCAAAGTACTCTTTGTCACTCTACAAGCAAGACCCTTATCCACAAAAGAATCAACATGTTTACGCATATGTGGCCAATAAAAATGAACACTAAGAACATCAAAAGTAGCATGTCTTCCAAAATTTCCAAGCATAAGGCTACCATGACTCTTCTCAATCAAAATATCCCTAATGCTACATATGGGAATGCACAACTTATCACCACGAAACAAATAGCCATCATGCATATAATAATCATCAAAACCATGTTTTTCACATCTCCTAAATATATCACCAAAATCTACATCATGCTCATACAACTCACGGATATGGGCAAATCTAACAAAATGTGCATGAGTATGATTAAGTAAAACATACCTCCGAGAGAGTGCATCAGCAACTACGTTCTCCTTCCCTTGTTTATACTTAATAACATACGGAAATTATTCAATAAGGCTTACCAACCGAGCATGATGCTTACTGAGTTGGTGCTGCCCACGCAAATGCTTAAGGGTCTCATGATCCGTGTGAATTACAAACTCCTTTGGCAGCAAGTCTACAAAAGGAGGAGACAAGTGAGCAAATGAATCAAAATCTATCACAAGTATATCTTTCTGTAAAAGAATATAAAAGTAACTTCCCTCATCTTGGTTACTGTTTTGGTGAATTTTCTTTTTGAACTCTTTGAGACTAAGCAATATTTTGCCATCTCCCCCCGAAGATTTCGCCGAAACTGTAGTGGCAGCCCCCTTTTGTTTCACCACATCACACATAGATCTACGCAAGTATTTAGCATCACGACGTACGGCCTCGGGTGGTAGGGAAGAAATGCTCAGCTTCTTACCGTCCTTACAAAAAAATATTTGATTTTTATACCCATTGTACAAGACACGCCGATCAAATTGCCAAGGACGTCCCAAGAGAATATGACATGCGGTCATGGGACACACGTCACAAAACACATCTCGCTGAATCCACCAATGGAAAACGTTACTCTTGCTTGCTTATCCACATGAACAGCCCCTTCATCACTCATCCAATGTAAACTATATGGCTTCGGATGAGCGGTAGTATTTAAACACAACTTCTCTACCATATACGAACTAACAACATTAGTGCCACTACCCAAATCAACTATCATGGATATGGTACGCCCTGCTACCTTGCAATGACAATGGAACAAACTTTCTCGTTGTTCGTCTTCCCTACGGTTTGCATCTTTACGTGGTAGAGATGTCAAGGCTCGCATCACCGCTAAACTTAAAGGATCCTCATCACAAACTTCCTCAACAACATCATCATTATCTTCAGCAACTACTACGTCATCACCATCTCCATCACCATCGCCATCATCTACATAACCCCATTCGCTATTCTCTAAAATCATAACAGTTCGCTTATTGGGACATTGGCCTGCATAGTGCCCTTGCCCATGGCACTTATAACACGTCACAATCTTCTCTTTCCTATGCCCCAACCCCTTTCCCTTGAACCTTACGGCAGCATCATCCTTTTTGTCTACTATTTTCACCTTGTCTTTATCCACATTTTTATCAAAAGGCTTTGTGGAAACTACTCCCTTAGAACCAGTGGAAGAGACGAACGAAGTTACAGAGCTGGTTGGAAACTTCCTTTGACAGGAATGCCCGGTTGATGTTGGTTTCTTGAGCTGCTCCTCCCGTTTGATTGCCAAATCCACAGCTTTCCGAAGAGAACAAAAATGGTGCAGCTCAACCGTATCGGCTATCTCATGCCTCAAACCCTTAATGAATCGAGCCTCTTTCAAGGATTCACTCTCATCAATGTCCAACCTCATCATCAAAATTTCCAGCTCCTTAAAATACTCTTCTACCGACTTCGAACCTTGAACCAAGGATTGCAACTTAATATTCATATCCCGCTCATAACTATCCGGCACAAAGCTTCTCCTCATGATCTCCTTCAGTTTTGTCCAAGTATCAATTGGATTTCTTCGATGTCGCTCCCTATAAAGTCTCTTTTTCTCCCACCAAGTCAAGGCATAATCTCTTAACTCACAGATTGCCATGCGGAATTTCTTGCCTTCCGAATAATTGTGATAGTCGAACGCCATATCACATTTGGTAAACCAATCAAGGAACTCCTCCACCCCGCCTAATCCTCCGAAAGTGGACAGGGTAATCTTAATGGTGAAGAGATCATCATCCAACCCACTGCGCCGATGATGAGTTCGATCATTGAACAAGTAATCCGAACTGTTGCTATGGTGTGAGACCGACGTCATCGAAGGGCTCAAATCGCAGTGATGTGAACATTCAGCCGCGGCTTGTTTTTCCCGAACAACAGCAGCTACTTCAGAAGGGATCTCTGTTCGAGCATTCTCCAAAGATGACAGTCTATGATTGATATCATCCAAATTTTTATTCATGGTATACTTTACATGATCCCAAGTCGCTTTTTGTTGCATGGACAATGTTTTCTCCATATTAGCTTCCAATTGCTGCATATTAGACTCCAATAGTTCCTTCAATTGTTCAAAAGAAGCCATCCTGCACTCAAAAGATAAACTATATATGTATATTAAAATGTTAGTATCACTCCAAAAAAATTGCAGTTTACTCACAGAAATTACACACAGAATTAATTCCGTGAGTAATTACGGATGGATACTCACAAAACAACTCACAAAATTGATTCCGTGAGTAATTACTAACAAAATACGTATAAATTACTTACAGAAACAATACAGTGAATAATTACTTTAAAAAAATTGAATTTATTCACGGACTTATTCACAGAATTAAATTTTGTGAGTAATTACGTATGGATACTCACAGAAAAACTCACGAAATCGATTCTTTGAGTAATTACTAACAGAATATGCATAAATTACTTACAGAAACAATACAGTAAGTAATTGCTTAAAAAATTGAAATTTATTCACAGAATTAAATTTCGTGAGTAATTTTTCAAAAAATTGAAATTTACTCACGAATTACTCACGAAATTAAATTCCGTGAGCAAGTCAAAAATTAAAACCTTCCGAACTAAAGTTTCAATTACGGTCTGACGGTTTCGGTGACGGTTTATAAATCGTGAATTTCAATTTGAAAACCAACTGTTTATATATATATACATATTTATTTTTAATATTCTTTATTTTATATTTTTTTTGTAAATTTAAATTTATTTAAAAATAATTAATTTTAATATTATTTAGCTATATTTATTATTTATTATTTATTATGTAAAAATCATATATATAACTATATAAAAAAGTAATTAGATTATTACATTATAAAAATAATTAAACTAATAAATTTAGTAAATAATTAAATTAAATTTTAATTTAAAAATAAAAAAGAAATTATAAAAACATTTAATTACTGATTCAATATGAATATATAATATGAATATAAAATTTATTTCTAACATAAAGTTTATAAATAGGGAGCTGCTTTTTGCGCCCATCATTTTAAAATTAAATTTTACTCTCTCCGTCCCATATACAGTGTCTATTAGACATGATATTTTAGAAGAGGTGTAATTAGTAGATAATTAAAAATATATTAGTGAAAATAATTATCCCGATAATATAAATAATTATAAATTAAGATTAAGATAATTAATTGTTTTAATTAAAATTTAAAAAAAATAAAAGTAAAATATTAAAAATGAGATTAAAGTGTGTAATCATTATAAAAAAAAAAGACTGACAGAAACTGCGGAGTGAGTATAATTTAAATGAGTCGAAATAATACTAATATCATTGTTCCTCTGCCCTACTTCGACAGCTTCGTCTCCTTGGCAGTCACCATTCCGCTTGGGAGGGGCGCCGGGATCGTCGTCGGAAATAAAGCCGCGGGAATCATTTCTCATAGTTGTAGAGTAAGCGTTGATTAAAAACACGTTTCTTTCTCTCTTCATTCATTTCTCCGAGATCTGATTTTGATGGAGTTGAAGAAGCTTTTATCGATTTGCAATATGTTATCTCTATAGATAACTATTTAGTTTTGTGTAGCATTCAATTGTTAGGTACAATTTCGCTAGTGTGTTAGGAATTTTTGACTTGAATTGTTGGATGGGGAAATGTTTGCCAAATCTAATTAGAGTAACGAGGATTTCAGATCTCGGCAGCAGTGGAGGCGGCAGAGAAGATGATGGCAGAGCCTTTGATATTGAAATGAGGCAATCAGGTTAGTTCCGAGGCTTTGTCAAAATTTGGTGAATTTTTCCCCAAACAATGTTATGCAATCATTTTTCTCGAATTTTAAATGCTTGAATAAGGGAATCGCAATGTGTTGTTTAAGTTTGTTTATTTCCAGCATGCGCATATATTATACTTATTATATAAATGTATGATTTTGGAATATATATAGTATATGATTTTTTGAACTTGAGAATCATTTAACATTGCCTACAATTTGCAAGGATTTTGATTTTTAGTGTTGTGCTATTCAGTTGGGCACTTTTTGACATGAATGGCAACCAAGTTCTCCAAAGTATTGTTACTGAAGTTGGAGTTGCATTTAAGAAAAATCTTAAGGAGGTGGAATTGCATTTCTTGAATATATCATTTCTCTAAATACATGGCTAACTAATGCATTTCCCTTGGAACAAGTCTTCTATTTTCACAATACTCCTTTGTAGATGGATAAAGTGAGGAACGAACAGAGCAATGACATATCTGTCAAGGAAGCAATATCAATTGTGATGGATAGGAACCAAAATTTAAGGTGCTAGAACTTTTTTTTTATCTTGAAGCTCACCTTTTTGCAACAGAAGTCTAATGGTTGGTGTTTTTTCAGGCAAAAAGGCGTTTTGTATGAAGTCTTACAATGGTATATTTGTAGGATGGAGGCTTGGTTTGTTGCTGATGCAGAAGACATATTGCTGTAAGTATGGGACCAAGTATGTTTGGTTCCTCTAAGTATTCTCTTATTTATACTATGAGGCTTTTGGAATTAAATTTGAAGGGAAACTACAACAGTTAGTTTGAGAGGCTTTAGACTGTTTCCATCCATCGACAGGTCTTACTTAAGAGCCATGGATGTATGGATCAGTAATATATACACACACACACATACATTAAATACTGAAAGAGGAATTAAAGTCTTTAGTGTTTATGTTCTGATGCAGGGCTTTCAAGAGGAAATTCGAAGACAGAATGTCTGAATGTCAGGTACATTAGCTACTATTACATTTGGTGTAGTTCAGTATTCCTTTTATCTTATTTCAAAATTTTACTTGAAAATTACTTCTGTAGACTCTAAAAGAGAACAATACAACAAGATTATCGGTGCATTTATTGAGAGGCGTGTATTTACAGGTATTAATACTTATCTAGGAAAGGGTCGTTTACGAACACTTCAAAATCTATACAAAATTTTGATATTTTGATATTTGACATGGTTTACAATGACAAGAACTCGACCTGATGAAGAGGTGAAGCTAGTATTCCTTAATATTTCATTTAAGATGTGTTAAAATATTTTCATTTACTGAAATCATTCTTCTTCAGACAGTTGAAAGATTGATAGAGACAGGGGATAGTGAGCAAATTTTTTAGAATGCAATCTGCCAGAAAAGCCGAGGACAGGTGTATGAAAACTCCAATTTGTTTGTTTGCCCATCCGTTTCCATTTTCTGTTTTTTCTCTATCGCAGTGTTTTATGAATTGTTGGCATATATAGAAGAAACACGACATAGAATTTTAATTTGGTAGTCATATATTTGTCTCAACTATAAAACTAGACTAAATTTGTGCAGCCATTAAATAACACATAGTATTGATGTAAATGATGTCATTTGAAATTCAAGAGCGGCATGAAGCAGCTAAAGATTTAGAGAAAAGGCTTTTGGATCTGCAACAGGTATATTAGATTTTTCTCATATTTATTGATGATCATATGCATTCAGGTTTAGAAGTGAAGCTCATGTTTCTCAGAAAGTATAAGATGTTTCCCAAGGTTAAGATGAATTGATCCCTATATTTTTCCATGTGTTTCCTTTGATAATAATACCGAACATATGATCAGTGTGAGGTTCTGAGCTGATTAGCTTGTTAGCAAATTCAGTTTATGATTAGTTTTCTGATACCCCAAATCCCCAGCCATTCCTACTTCAAAAGTTTAGATGAGATATACATTGCAAATCTGGCTTTTTCATATGAAGCATAGCTGGGAAAATGAACCGGAGAAACAAATTGAAAACATCCATGAAGACTTATAAGTTCTTGTCCTTGTTCTAGTTTGATTGTACTAAATGCTTATAGCCTTTCAATTTATCATATCAATCCAAATTCATAGGCTCTGCACAATGTGAGATAATAAGAAAGATAATAAAACCAAATGATTTACCTAAATTTACTAATTACCCTACTAAATTATCAATTTACTATTTATATCATACTAATAGTTCTATTTCACACTCCTTTATCTATTGTTTCTTATTTTCTTCTCTGTTTGCTAACTCCGTATCATTTAGTTTGTTCCATTGATAAAGTTGGATCAAAATTTTGAGTGTGTTTATTTGGTGTTAATATTTTGAAGTGTTTTTTTCTTTTTGGTGAGGTATTTCGAAATATGTGCAAAATTATTAAAATGTTAGATTTATCTCAAGTATTTTTTATGTTTGAGGATTTTGATTACTCTTTAGATGTATTTCTTAGCAGTTTATCTTTTTCATTTGTGTCAACAAGCTTGTCCATTTTTAAAATTATTCAGTTTTGCTCGTGGTTAGGTTGCTCTAGCACATTCTTACTCGAACGTGTCTTATGTTTCAATTTGGCAAGACACAATATAGCTGTGATGAGGCTTTACTTTCATCGGTGCATCGGGATAAGAAGAAGAGGATATTTGGACTTAGGTTGCTAGCATCGATAGTGTCACCGGATCACAACTCATTCACTAGTGATGGTTGTATGCCTAGTGCTCCAACAACTGAGAGTCGGCTAGCGCACATGGAGGAACGGTTTGACCGTTTTGAGAATTACGCCCGACCGGACCGCCACGACCCCGATGGCAAGTCTGGTGGTCCACCTGTTTGTTGATTTTCATACCAAGTATTTGAACTTTACTATTTCATGGATTTTACTATTTTAAATATACGGTTATATTTACTACTGTTTGTGGTATCCATCGATTATGGAACCATATTTATGAATATCGTGTGATTCGATCGTATTTTGTCTATTGGATATTTGGTTTGATATGATTTACATTGTGGTTTGGATTTGTGCTATTGTAATATATGATTTGAGACTGGTATGGAAAAATTAAAATATAAATTTTTGGGGGTCAGAAAAATTACTCACAGAAATTATTTTGTCTCGAACATCATATGTCAATGTCGTAAGGGAAATTTATGTGAGTAATTCAGTAAGTAAATTATTCATGAAATTACTCATGGAACATTCCGTCTGACAAAATTTACTCACGGAATTACTTACAAAATTTGTTATGTGAGTAAATTTATTTACGGACAAAGTCGGTGAGTAATTATGTGTGTAAATTTTTCACAGACAAAATTTTGTGAGTAATGTCGTGAGTAATTTACTTACGGAATTACTCATGGATTTTTCTCGCGATGAATTACTTACGAGGTATTTAGTAACAAATTACTTACGAACAAAATTTTGTAAGTAATTCCGTGAGTAATCAATTTACTAACGGATTTTTCATGATTACTCAAGGAATTCCGTAAGTAATTTCTATGAGTAATCTGTTTATTTTTTGTAGTGTATCCTCACTCTCCCTCACAACACTCAGAAGGAAAAATCAGAAACAACCACGATCATGAAAGCGAAGAAACAAGCGCAATTACCTCAAAACAGAACGTAGGAATCCTTCAAATGCAATACTCAAGAGAAGCATGAAATACAGACGCATCAACTAAGGGAACAAAACTAGAAGATTCGACCCCAAACTATAAGCGCAGAATGTCAAATAAAGGTCGATACAAATTCTTTTCCTCGATTAAGCAACTAGTCGAAATCAAAATCCTAACGCACCAGGTGAATAAGAATCATCAACAACCTCTCAACACACTCAAGAGACAAACCCGGTGAAACAACTCCCACAACACGGACTAGGAACCCTCAAAATACAACATGACTACTACAAGAATATTAATCGATGCACTGTAATAGAATACTAAGGTGTGCTGCTCAATTTTTTTTTTTCGTTTTTGTTTTCTTTATATATATATATTATGCTCTAGGCTTTTACTTTATGTTTAAATCATTTCTTTTTCAAAATTGGATTGCCATCTTGGCTCTTTCAATGCAATTTTGCCACACCTTTTAACAAAACAGAGGACAGTGCATAACAGTAAACTTCAAACGAAATTTTAGAGGGTTATTCACGTCCAAATGTCATGATTCCAAACATTAAAATTAAATTCAAGGAGTTATCGAACAGAAAAAACAAGAATCACTCAGAAAATCCCAGCCAATAAAGAGCAGTTAATAAAACAAATCGACTGCTCAAAAACAGAAAACAGAAAGTTCAACCCCCAAACATTGTACTGACCGATCTCTGTATTCCAGAAATTTTTTGACGATTTTGAGATCGAAGAACTGCAAAGAAGTGCTCACTGTATAGAAAATTTGATGCCGATTCCGAAACCTCCTCACAATCTAGAATCGGAGTTCGTATGCAAAAGTTACGGCCAAAATACGATCTACCAACAAAACTCACAAATTTCACTCGATTCACCCCCAAATCACTCAATTCCTTGATCACTTTGATGCGATTAGACTTTAATTCAACTATATTAATTAATCAATGCCTAATAACGCTTAGAAAACTGCGAACAAGGCTTGCTAGTGTCGGCCAAAAATTACTACTAATTGTGTTTTTTAGATCAAATTCAAGAACACTACTCACATTTGACAACTAGCAATGGATTGGAACTAGCATTCATTTCCAACAATTATCAACTATTTCCAACCAAAAAATTCAACAAATCTTCATCATGGATTGGAATTTACAGATTTCCAAACAAAATATGATATAAAAAACAGATTAAAAAAAAAACGGATTCGATCAAAAACGATTGGATCAAAAAAGGCATTGAGACATATGATCAAACGCATTGAGATCAACTCGAAGCAAGTATGATAACCACTATGATACCAAATTTTTATGACATGGATAGGATCAAATACATGACATCTAATCTCAATTCAATAGAAGAATCAACTACGAAATCGAATAAACGAACCGGCGGATAATTTGGAATCAATCGACGAATACTCCTCTCGAGCAAACACCTTCATGAATCCACACGAACTGTTTGAGGCTTGTGAATGCTTCTTCCATCTCTCACGTAAGCTGCATTCCGAAGGCTAAAAAATTAACCCTCTCGGTTGATTGGAATCACTCCAATGGATGGTTGGAATCTCTCCGAAAAGAAGAAAATTTCTTCAAAGTGGTAGTTACTTTTCTGAAAATGTACGGAATGTGTTTTACAAGTAGAATATAAGGAATATATGCTAAGAAGACCTAATCTAACACTACCAAAAAAATGGCCATTTGTAGCGAAATCTTAGTCGCTACAATTTTCTTGCTACAAAAACTATTTTTTGTTCCGGATATTACCGTAACAAATGGTATTTTTGGTATGGTCAACACCTATTCTTTTGTTGTGGTATATTTTCGTTACAACTACAATAATTTTCTTTTAAGTTTCAAAATAAATCTAAAATAATCTAAAATAATATATCATATTTACATATATATGTATGTCATATATAATACATACATAACACTTACATATTAATATATACAAATTAAATACTTATATATTTATATATACAAATTAAAATTAAGGTAATTATTTATTTAAAAATAATAAAATTTGAAATTAAATCTAAAATAATCTAGAATAATATATTATATTAATTTACATATATATGTATGTCATATATAATACATACATAACACTTATATATTAAAATATACAAATTAAAATTAAAATAATTTTTTATTTTAAAATAAAAGTGTATATTATAAAAATTAAAAACCTCCACCACAACCCTAAGCAGCGCGCAGCCCCTTTCCTCTTCTTCGCCCTGCCCTGCTTCTTCTGCGTCTTACTTCTTCTTCTTCGTCTTCTTTCTTCTTCTTCCTTCATCGATTTCTTGGTTCATCTTCTTCCTCTTCGTCTTCGTCTTTTTCTTTGTGTTCTTCTTCACCAACTGACTGACCTCCGCCCTACACCCCTGAAAATCGCACCTCCTCACTGTCTTCGGCCATCGACCGCGCTCCACCGCTGCCCGCAGACGTCCTCAAACGCAAACCTTAGCTTTTCCTGTAAGTTTGGATATGGGATTAATTATTTTTTTTTATCGTTTTTTTCCTGCCTAGTTAGGCTTTTCTGATTTTTAATTTTTGTTCCTAATGTTAGATTTAGGGCTTAATCTGTTACATAGATGATGAGAGATTTTGCAATTATATGGTTCGTCTGGACACGACTTGATAATTAGATTCATTCCTCTTATGCCTTACTTCATGGATGACAAATAGCCTTTTCCAAAAAGAAATTATTCCTGCATTTTTACAAGTCTGAGGTCTAGATATAATATTTTTAGTTCTAATGGAATTTTTAAGTGGGAAGTTTGTTCATGGCATTTCAAGTTGTTCCTGAAGCACGTGATTAGCATAAACTTTACTTTTACTGGTAAAATTTACTATATAGTTGGTGGAGGCAGAGCACATATATAAGTTTATATATATGTCTCTGTATTGTTTGTATGAATGAATATTGCAATCAGAAAAGGGGAGGTTTGGGTACATCAACCAAAGAATTACTTGGATTATAAGGTTTTTTAGGGACCACCTCCAAATTTAATTCCAACGGGGACCACATCAATTGGTTGCTTCTCCAAACCTTTTAGAAGTTGTTGTATATATGTATATATATATGTGTGTGTGTAAGAAGATAGTGGTACATTCTGCTGTAGTTCATCTTCCATGCTGATAAAGCACAACAATTGCCAAAAGCCCAGTCTAAATTTACCATCATCATTGATATGTATAATATTGTTTGTGTTTTCTCTGTTACTTTTTACTGCTTTTATAAAGTGTTCTGCTGATTCTTGGATCTACTAATGTGCATTATGGATGACACGAGGTGTCTTTGAAATTGAATAGGTGTGTCATACCTGCCATTGAGGGACAACGTACTTTTCGGCAGAAGTCTAAGCGTCGATCCAAGGTTGCTGCATTGTAGTAAGTTATTCATTCATCAATAGTATATCACATTACTTGTATAGTTTTTATGATATGAACATTCGAATTATAGTGTTGATATTCATATTTTTAGTTCAATACTACTATTTTCGGTGGTTATATAAGCCGAGGCAGGTTAGTATTAAGAACCAACCTGAAATAAATTATCTTAGGGTCTGAAAATTATTTACATGGCACGCTATTAAAGTGGTACTTATATCTTGATCCACATTACAACATGCGTTTAATTAAGTGCATACGATATTTGTTAATGGGATTATGAAAAATCTTCAAACTTTTTCTTTCTTAGATGGACAAGAGTTGGATTGACGAATCGAACCATACTTCGTCTACTTATTTGGATGGTGTGATTCAATTCTTAAACTATGCTTTTCGTGGGAGGGACATAGACTCGGTTGTATATTGTCCATGTAGGACTTGTTTTCACTTTTGGGTTCTCATATACCTTTTGACTTTTGGAAAAGATGAACGGACTTGGCAAGTGGAAACATTACTATAGTAGTCTTTACTTACAGCAGACGATTTTGAATTAAATAAGGTAAATAGAATCATTCACACTTAATATATTCTCGGCCTAGTAAGTGTTGTTCCTATGAAATAGTTATCTTATCATACTACATTTGTTGTTGAAAGCATGTTGTTTCTAATTTATTTATACATTCTTGCATATATGTTGCTAACAGGATATTTGAATTCTTTCCTTTTAGGTAATGGCAAGAACCAAGCGTGAAAGGCAATCTATATTGCAAGAGGTTGGAGGTTCACCACTCCGACGGGTCACAAGAGCCCTAGCACGCAGTAGCCCCAAGACAACCAATCACCCGGAGGTTAGTGCACCCTCTCCACCGAAGCAAGTTGGTCCTAAACGGCTAACCACTAGACGCAAGGGTGCCCATGTCTCACCTCTTTTGGACCGCTTAAAATCAATTACTGAAGAGTGGGAGAGAGAGCGGGATGCTCGGACGGCAGCAAGGGCAGATGCATCCTCCGTTCGATGTCCTTTATTGCAGGATTCACAGGAGCCAGAGCAGGTAATATTGATTGTTAGATACGCCTAATAAATTCCTTGCCTTGCTACAATGATACATCGAAACTCCTAACACCACATGAGTAAAATATTGCAGACGGTGATCGGCGATGTGATGGATGATGATACGATAGGCCCTACACAGGGGATGGAAACAACTGGCCCCATTACGTTGGGAATAAACCATGCGCCGGTGGATGAAATCGAAGAACCTCCGGAAATGGATGAAGATGATCTCACCCAGAGGGATGAACCAGCTGAGACGGAAGGTAGCATATTACAATATATATGAATTCCAGTACTCACTAACTAGGTAAGTGTTGAAGCGTAGTAATACTAACATAATATTCAAATATATTCGTAGATCCAATAACAGAAACTAAGAGGGGGCGGGGAGCGGCCAAGATGCCTTGTGGATGGGGTGGGGACACCCCAATGACTGTGTTTATGGCCAGGGATGGCAGAAGCATCATCGGGCCAGATGTGAAGGATTACAAAAGTGGAGTTGGAGTCATCGCCAGAAATGGGATGCGTCTTCCATTACGGTATTCGAGTTTCTAAGCAATTCCCGAACAATTGCGGCAAGGTGCATGGATTGAGATACGGGTAAGTTTTATAGAATGAAGATGAGAAACCTTTATATTAAACCTCTATTTACTGTACATGCTTCCTTGAGTAGAGCAAGCTTACATATTAACACTACAAATATTGTTTTAGGACAATTGTGGGCTTCCGGATTCGGCAGAGAAGGTCGTTATGGCTGACCTGAAGGATGTCTGGCGCCATTGGAAATGCATCATCAAGTCTACATACTTCGCACCACACCAGAATGATGACGAAGCATTGAAGAAAGTCCCCACCGATCGGATTGTCGCTGAAGAATGGCCGTTGCTTGTCCAGTATTGGAAGGATGAGAAGGTTAAGGCAAGTTACATCTCTTCCTTCATCTTTTTATGCTCTTACCATGTTACCTAGGCTACTCCAATTAATATGGGTTGATGTTCGCAGGATATTGCAAGGAGAAATACCAATAACTCCATCAAAAGAAAGTTTCTGCACAGGACTGGCCGGAAACCATTCACAGTGTTGGCGGATGAGGTCCTTCATTCTCTTGTTTGTACAACAATTTAGTCCACAGCTACGACTCCCCAGTTCTTACGTGTAAGTGAAGTTAACTACCGGTTTCTTATTTGGCTAACTCTTAGATAAAGGCAACAAGGAAAGAGGCTGATAATCTGGAAATTTGGATGTCGTCTCGCACGAATGGACGTGGTGGTGATGATGAGATGACTGATGATATTTTGGTATGCAAACCTATCCCACCTTTTGTTGAATGGAATTGTAGTACTTCTCGTCCTTCATCTTTGTATTTGTTTGAAATTCTGTAGGCTTATTTGAATGATGAACTTAATAAAATTCCTGTTGATAAAAGAACCCCGGTGTCTTGTGAGGCTTTGTACCGCCGTGCACTCGGGGGGAAAAGGAATAGAAAAACAGCTGTTGATAGTGCTGCCAGCTCTTCCTACCCCTGGATCATTTGACTGGAGGGCCCGATGGTCCTAATCTCCAGAAGCTTGCTGAGGACTATCAGAAAGGTCTTGTTGAGATTAGAGAATTTATGTCTGAATTTAGGAGTGTCCGTGCTGAGATGTCTGAAATTAGAACCATCCGTGCTGAGATGTCTGCTTTGTTGAATTCTTCCCCGCGTGCCTCCATACGGGGCCCTGTAAGAATACATATCTCCTGTATTAATTAGTTTTGCATTGTACCATTTGGGGCGAGTCGTGTTGTTTCATACTCACTTGTTTTGCAGTGTTCTAGCCGCACAGATGGAAGGTCAGAGACCCCAGGGACTGATGTCCTTACCCCGTTGACGGTTAGTAATTTTTCGTTGCTACTTTTATTTGTATTTGTTAACTGAATCACCCTTTAGATAATAACATCCACTACTAATACATCACCACCACCTTCGAGAACATGCATGTAGCTATATGATTGACATTTGATAATGTTTTTCATGTAGATCGGGTCTTGTATTCTTCTCATATCTCGTGGTTTGGAAAAACGCGTTGTTGGTGAGGGGGTGTTGCTATCCGACCCTACCCCAGGTTTGTTGTCAACCTAGTTATATTATTTATATAAAATCGGTTTTGGTTGCAGCCATTTTGAGTAAAGCATATTCTATGGTTATTAGTTAGTCAAATCAAAATAGTAATACATGATATGGTGACAATGCAATTTATATGGAACTGTAATTGGGTGGTTGTTTGCTCTGTATGACCTTGTTGGGTAGCATATAAATCTATAATTAAATATTTTTATAGGCTAGTGGGTAAATTGATTTTTTCCCCAAACCACTTTGATCTTTGATGTAACTTATGTGTTAGGTATTTGGATACATTAACAGTACTCAATTAATTATTGTTTTTAAATTGGTACATGTTTAAGTTGGTAGTTTAAACAAACAGCTTTTCACATGTATCAAATAAATTGATCACGTTGCTGGTTGTTTTATACTTGTGGGGTTGTACAGAAGTTGGTCCGGATGTCATCAAGATAGGATCCATGCTATAATTATAGTTATACTAATCTATATTTTACAATTTTGATTACGCGGTTGTATGGATGGTTAAATTAGGCTATCATCTCCGACATTTTCTCTTACGTATGCTATAATGTTTTAGTTAATATCTTTAATATTTTATATTGATTATATAAAACATGAGTCTTATTTTCTTTCCGATGATTTGCACATGTTTTCTTTATATTTCCATAGGTGACACTGTTGACATAGTAAGGGTTTTTGTTACATCTGCTACTGTTCCGGAGGCTTCGCTTATTCTACGGACAACCGGAGCACAAACACTCGGTGAGGTTGTCCGCGCCGAGCCAATCGACTGGACATTTAAAGATGTACGCAACCACATTTACAAGATTTTCTATTGGATTACAACTTAACCATTTTACAAATAAATTCTTATATAATTTTGCACAATGTTGGCAGCTTGTTCGTTGCCCATAACTACGGTGTACGGCCACTTTGACGGTGCATGGGGCTATGCAGCATGGCACGTGATTCTATGATGATTGACGTTTGTTTGTGGATTGATGCTAACTGATTCCTTTATGTTGGTTGAACTTGCTGTCTCTGCTACATTTTGTGTGTTTGTTGCTACGCTTTGCCATATATGTTAGGCTACATTGCGAAATATTTATGTTTCCACACAGTGTGTACTTGCTACAACTTACGGTGATACAGAATTGCCGTAATATTTCCGTATTTTGTAATGTCATTTGGCAGTAGTTTCTCACATCGTACAGGTTTTTCGGTCCCGAAACCATTTTTTTTAGGTTATTATTGAAAAAATAAGGAAACATTTTTCGATACAATAAATTGGTCGTTACAAATACTGGTACAAAAAATATGAACCAGGTTTCTGAAAACCACCTATTGTAACCAATAACTACCGTAACAAAAGCCGTTACAAATGGATAAGCGTTTATTGTAACGATTCTTTTATAACGGTAAATGGCCGCTACAAATAAATCAAAAGTACAATGATAGCGTTACAAACACTGTTACAATAAATGCGTTGACCACCCATTTTTTGTTGCGGAAAAAGTCGGTACAGAGACTTTTTGTAACTCGAGTATATGCACCGGTCAAAATCCGGTACAAAATCGTTACAAATAGCTTTTTGTACCAAAAAATGGCCATTTGTAGCGGTTCAATAACCGCTACAAATGGCCATTTTTTTGGTAGTGTAATCTGGGCCATACATCTAATCTAAAAATCAACGGCTCACAACCTCTAAATAAAGTAATGTCTTTGATCGGGTACGGGTCGCAATTGGTCCGCCGATATTCGGGTTCGGGTCACCCGATACCATGTCACTTTAGAAGATTATACTTTATGCTCTAGAGTTCTAATTACAGTGCATTTCATACTTGTTAGGTAGTGTTTTAAAAAATTAAAGTTAGTGCTTTGTTTCTTGACTGACTTTTTTTTTATTATATAGCATTTTATAAGATTATACTTTGTGCTCTATATTTTGTAAATACAGTGCTTTTCATATTTGTTATATCGTGCCTAATGGAATATAGTTAGCGCTTTTGTTTCTTCAATGTTTTTCCTTTTTATTACATAGCACTTTATGACATTACACTCTGTGCTCTAGAGTTCTAATTATAGTGTTTTTCGTCTTGTTACGTAGTGTATTAAGGTAGTATAGTTAACGTTTTTTTCTTCACTTCTTCTCATTTTAATTTTAAAGCACTTTATGACATTATACTTTGTGTTATAGAGTTCTAATTACAGTGCTTTTCATATATGTTACATAGTATTTTAAGGGAATACAATAAGTGCTTTTGTTTGTTGACTGCCTTTTACTTTTTACTATATAGCACTTCATAAGATTATACTTTGTGCTCTATAGTTCTAATTACAGTGCTTTTCATATTTTTTATATAGTGCTTTAAGTGAATATAATTAGCATTTTTGTTTCTTCATTGTTTTTCCTTTTTCTTATAAAGCACTTTATGACATTATACTTTGTGCTGTAGAGTTGTAATTATTGTGCTCTTCGTACATGTTACATAGTATTTTAAGTTAATATAGTTAGTGCTTTTGTTTCTTCATTGTTTTTCTTTTTTATTATGAAGCACTTTATGCTATTATACTTTGTGTTGTATAGTTCTAATTACAGTGTTTTTTAGTATATGTTACATAGTGTTTTAAGGTAATACAGTACTTGTTTTTGTTTCTTGATTGCCGTTTACTTTTTATTATATAGCACTATATGACATTATAGTAGTTGCTCTATATTTTTAATTACAGTGCTTTTCGTATTTGTTATATACTGCCTTAACAGCATACAGTTAGCGCTTTTGTTTGTTCATTGTTTTACCCTTTTATTATATAAAACTTTATAAGGTTATTTTTTGTGCTCTAGAGTTCTAATTACAGTGCTTTCGTATATTACAGTTAGTGGTTTTGTTTCTTGACTACCTTTTAGTTTTTAGTATGTCACACTTCATAAGATTATACTTTGTGCTCTATAGTTCTAATTACAATGCTTTTCATATTGGTTATATAGTGCTTTAAGGTAGAATAGTTAGCGCTTTTGTTTCTTCACTTTTTTTCCTTTTTATTATAAAGCACTTTATGACATTATACTTTGTGCTGTAGAGTTCTAATTATAGTGCTTTTTATAAATGTTACATAGTGTTTTATGTGAATACAATAAGTGCTTTTGTTTGTTTACTGCCTTTTACTTTTTATTATATAGCACTTCACAAGATTATACTTTCTGCCCTATAGTTCTAATTCAGTGCTTTTCACATTTGTTATATAGAGCTTTAAGGGAATAGAATTAGCATTTTTGTTTCTTCATTGTTTTTCCTTTTTACCATTAAGCACTTTATGAGATTATACCTTGTGCTCTAGTGTTTAAATTACAATTTTTTTCGTACTTGTTACATAGTGTATTAAGGTAATATAGTTAGCGCTTTTCTTTCTTCACTATTTTTCCTTTTTCTTATATAGCACTTTATGACATTATACTTGGTACTGTAGAGTTCTAATTACAGTGTTGTTCGTATATAGTTAGCATTTTTGTTTCTTCATTGTTTTCCTTTTTATTATAAAGCAGATTATGACATTATACTTTGTGATGTACAGTTTTAATTACACTGTTTTTCTTATATGTTACATAGTGTTTTAAGGGAATAAAGTTTTAGTATTTTTGTTTCTTGACTGCCTTTTAGTTTTAATTATATAGCACATATGAGATTATACTTGTTGCTCTATATTTCTAATTACAGTGCTTTTTGTATTTGTTATATAGTGTCTTAAAGGCATATAGTTAGCGCTTTTGTTTCTTCATTGTTTTTTCCATTTATTATATAATACTTTATGAAATTATACTGTGTGCTCTAGAGTTCTAATTACAATATTTTTCATAAGTTACAATTACTGGTTTTGTTTCTTGACTACCTTTTACTTTTTATTATGTAGTTTCATAAGATTATACTTTATGATCTATAGTTGTATATACAGTGCTTTTCATATTTGTTATATAGTGCTTTAAGGGAATATAGTTAGTGTTTTTGTTTCTTCATTGTTTTTCCTTTTTATCTTATAATACTTTTTGAGATACTAACTTGTGCTCTAATGTTCCAATTATAGTGTCTTTCGTACTTGTTACATAGTTTTTTAAGGTAATATAGTGAGCGCTTTTGTTTCTTCAATGTTTTCCTTTTTCTTATATAACACTTTATGACATTATACTTTATGCTGTAGAGTTCTAATTACAGTGCTCTTCGTACATGTTACATAGTGTTTTTAACGTAATATAGTTAGTGCATTTGTTTTTTCACAATTTTTCCTTTTTGTTTTAAAGCACTTTATGACATTATAATGTGTGTTGTACAGTTCTAATTACAGTGCTTTTCATATTTTTTATATAGTGCTTTAAGGGAATATAGTTAGCATTTTTGTTTCTTCATTGTCTTTTCTTTTTATTATATAGTACTTTATAAGATTATAATTTGTGCTCTAGAGGTCTAATTACAGTGCTTTTCGTACTTGTTACATAACGTTTTAAGTTAGTATAGTTAGCGCTTTTGTTTTTTAATTTTTTTTCCTTTTAATTATATAGCTTTTTGTGACATTATACTTTGTGCTGTAGATTTCTAATTACAATGTTTTTCGTATATGTTACATAGTGTTTTAAGGGAAATCAATAAGTGCTTTTGTTTGTTGACAGCCTTTTACTTTTTATTATATAGCACTTCATAAGATTATACTTTCTATACAATAATTCTAATTACAGTGCTTTTCGTATTTTTTATATAGTGCTTTAAGGGAACATAGTTATCATGTTTGTTTCTTCACTGTTTTATCTTTTTACCGTTAAGCACTTTACGAGATTATACCTTGTGCTATAGTGTTTAAATTACAGTGCTTTTCGTACTTGTTACGTAGTGTTTTAAGGAAATATAGTGGTTTATGAGATTATACTGTGTGCTCTAGAGTTTAAATTACAGTGCTTTATGAGATGATACTGTGTGCTCTAGGGTTCTAATTACAGTGCTTGTCGTAAGTTACAATTAGTGGTTTTGTTTCTTAACTACCTTTTACTTTTTATTATGTAGCACTTCATAAGATTATACTTTGTGCTCTATAGTTGTAATTATAGTGCTTTTCATACTTGTTATATAGTGCTTTAAGAGAATATAGTTAGCGTTTTGGTTTTTTCACTGTTTTTCCTTTTTATCTTATAGCACTTTATGAGATATTACCTTGTGTTCTAGTCTCCTAATTATTGTGCTTTTCGTACTTGTTACATAATGTTTTAAGATAATATAGTTAGCCCTTTTGATTCTTCATTGTTTTTCCTTTTTCTTATATAGCACTTTTTGACATTATACTTGGTACTGTAGAGTTCTAATTACAGTGTTGTTCGTACATGTTACATTTTGTTTTAAGGTAATATAGTTAACGTTTTTGTTTCTACACTGTTTTAGCTTTTTATTATAAAGCACATTATGATATTATACTTTGTGTTGTACAGTTCTAACTACAGTGCTTTTCGTATATGTTAGATAGTGTTTTAAGGTAATACAGTAAGTGTTTTTGTATCTTGACTGCCTTTTACATTTTATTATATAGCACTATATGATATTATACTTGTTGCTCTATATTTCTAATTACAGTGCTTTTCGTATTTGTTATATAGTGCCTTAAAGGCATATAGTTAGTGCTTTTGTTTCTTCATTGTGATTCCCATTTAGTATATAATACTTTATGAGATTATACTTTGTGTTCTAGAGTTCTAATTACAGTGCTTTTCGTACGTTACAATTAGTGGTTTTGTTTCTTCACTACCTTTTATTTTATATATTGTAGCACATCATGTGATTATACTTTGTACTCTATAGTTACAATTACAGTGCTTTTCATATTTGTTATATAGTGCTTTAAGGGAATATAGTTAGCGTTTTGGTTTCTTCACTGTTTTTCCTTTTTATCTTATAGCACTTTATGAGATATTACCTTGTGTTCTAGTCTTCTAATTATTGTGCTTTTCGTACTTGTTACATAGTGTTTTAAGATAATATAGTTAGCCCTTTTGATTCTTCATTGTTTTTCCTTTTTCTTATATAGCACTTTTTGACATTATACTTGGTACTGTAGAGTTCTAATTATAGTGTTGTTCGTACATGTTACATTGTGTTTTAAGGTAATATAGTTAACGTTTTTGTTTCTACACTGTTTTTGCTTTTTATTATAAAGCACATTATGA